GACCAGGCGAGTTTACATGTGACAAAAAGCATATTTATTTACAAAACTAAACTAACCTAACAAACACGAAAGTCAGTAATCAGTAATGTTTGGGTGTGTGAAAACGTGCAATAAACAAGCTAGTAGCCATGTTCAACAGAAGAGTGTTATAAATTACTTTTGAAGCAATGGTAGAAACTGAAAATCCGGCCTTTGAAGATTGCCTTTATCAAGAGTATGTTGTGTGGCTCACTTAATGTGTGTAGACAAGGATGCTAGTCTGTCGACTCCTCCTTTTATTAGAGATGTGTCTGTTGTTTGTGTTTGTTTTTAGTGTCAGGATGGAACCCTTGTCTTTTTCTCTGCAAACAGAATCTACCTACGGGTACAAATAAATAACTTGAACCTGTCTTTCAAGTCTTTATTTTCTAGCGTTCTTTGAATAACTCCATTTCCCATAAACCCTAAAGGCTAATTATCGCTGTAACACAAAATAGTATACATGTAACTATAAGTGCCCTGACATATTCAACATATGTGCCTTTTTACATTGTCTCTCATGTGCATGTTGGGGTGATACTCTGTCTCTTTCTCCTCCATCCACAGCTCTCTTGTAGGATGTGAGATAATGCAGTTATCACCATGGAGATCAGGCAGAGACGGACTGTCTGGTCTGGACAATGTCAAGCGTCTCTCTCTGTCTCTAAAGCACATGAACGTCTCTAGTGCCTAAAGTATGAAAAGTCTAATTCAAGTGTGAGAAAGTGTGAATGCTGGATGAGAAAGCTTACATAAACATCAGCTCAGCAGCTTTGTATTACCAAAACGTCTCTTTATGGAGGAGCATTATTTATACAAAGCAATATCCAACCTTTTCAAATTAATTCAACTAAAAGGCCAGAGGCAGGAAGTGACTCATGCTTATCAAATGCGGAGACTCCATTCAAACAAGAACAAAGAGCAGAAACCAGTAATGAGCACGAAATACAGCAAAGCTAATCCTGTCGGCTAAAGTCTCTAGATAATATATGCAACCTTGTGGACTTTGATATAGTATTAAAATACTTACCATATGACGAAGGCTGCATTCATCTTTCTTTTGGTTTTGTATTAAACCTTTAGGATGTTTTGTTAGATTCATTTCTTGTTGGAGTTTTAATGAAAAACCATAATCATTTGAGTCCTGCTTTTCATGCTGGCTTTGAGACACACAATACATATGTTTTAATAAGCTCAAAGGACTTGAAGGTGGGGTAGGTAAGTTTGAGAAACCAGCTCGAGATACACTTTTTTGTTATATTCCATGGAATGCTCTTAACATCCCGATAGCAATGAATATCTTAAGTGCTTTAACAAAAAGTCCATAAAAAATGTCATCTGTGGAAGCCGTAGTACTGTAAAAAGCACGACCAATCATCTGATCCATTAGCGTTCTGTTGTATATATTATCCATTTTATCATAATTGTGCAATAATGTTAGAGCAAATATTAGAAAAAAATAGGGTAGGTACGTTATTCTTGAAGAGGAATGGGGAATATTTACAGACAACATATCCGTGCGAACTTCTTTAACAGAATTATCAAGACAACCTTTGTACCCCTACTCCGCGGTCCCCTCTATAACGGGCGACTGTACTGAGAGACGACACCTTACAGTCAACGGTACGTCACACTTGGTCCACTAAGAAGTCACCCACGTCTCGACTTCCATAAATAAGAACACTGAAAATTCCTTCAAAAACTCCAACCAAACTTCCCAACGCCTAATCTCCTCTTCCTTATCCAACTGCCCCTGCCCTACCACACTTATATTTTTTCCTACCTCGCGTTCCTTCTCCTTTTCCTAATCAACCCACTCTCCTCGTGCTACCTGAACACTCCACTTTGCCCCCCCTGTCCTCTATAGTCGAGTACGTGATCTCGCGTTACTTACCTATACCCGTCTACAAAGATGAAAACAAAAGAGGAATAAGTTCAAGACACACACAACACCACACACACACACACACACACACAAACACACATCACACACACCACACAACACACACACACACACACACACACACACACACACACAACACCACAACACACAAGAAAAACAATTCAAGAACAGTAACACTCCTCAAAACATGGAAAACTCGTATAATCTACACTGTGACACTTCCTATCAATCTTGTTCGAAAGCAAACAGAGAGAAGGGAGCAATGGACGGCCTCCCAAATTCTGAACCTCAATCCTAATTCCAAAAGGTGCCTTACTAAGAAGAAGTCTACCCATTATAATTCTGTGATGGATCAGATACAATGTGGAATCTGATCGGTTATTCGTCCGTAGACATAGTCCGTCCCTGAATTTCTCTAATAGAGACGACAGGAGGGTAGGTGTGTAGATATAGTTAGAATGTCTATGTTTCCTCCGGAAATGAAACGTACCTGCGTTATTAGACTCTAACGAGAGCAAGAGTTGCTATAAACAAGACAAGAGAACAAAGGTGAAGAGAGGAAAGGAATGAGAAACAAGAGTAAGGAACAGGAAGAGAAACGAAGGAGGTAACGCAGAGCGACAGGAGAGAAGAGGAGCGAGTAGAACAAACAAGAAGCCAGAAGGAGGCGATCGGAACCGAAGAGTACAAGTCTTGGCGAAAGAAGGAGATAAATGGGGAAAAAGAGGGGGAAAGACGACAAGGGCGGAGAGAGAGGAGAGTATCGACGTCCTAATAAACTACCGTTAGGATTAAAGAGACACCGGTCCGTCTCGTCTCGTTGACTCTGGCGGACGTGTCTCACTCTTGTCCGTTAGTGTTCGGGGGGCGAGTCCGTCGCACTGGTCCACTCACTCGAGCAGCGCACTTTCATCACACACACAGACACACATCACACACACACACACACACACACACACACAGCACACACACACAACACACACACACACACACACACACACACACACACACACACACACGACACACACACACACCTGTACCCCCCTAAATCTGTCGTCCAACCTACATACCACCGGAGCCGGCCGACTGACTCCCCGGTTTTCCATTTCCTCCTTTTTTCTCCCCCCTTTTTCCTTCAAGTAAAATAGGTCACCCTTACTCAACGCAGGAGAACACACACCACACACACACACACACACACACACACACAGCACACACACACACACACACACACACACACGACACACAAGACACACGCACGACACACGACACACACGC